CCACATCTACGGCAGGCATCCCCAGAGGTTGTGAGGTCTGTTGGAAACGAGGCAAGTGGGGTTTATGTACCTGTGGAATGATGTGGGTGAAAATGCTACAATTGATTAGCACTGAAAAGCCTTGCAGCTCCAAAGCCTAGCTGCTTCCTACCTGGGGGAATCCTTTGTTGGGAGGTGTGGAATAATGTCCAGGGTGGGAGAAAGAAAGAACTCTTTGTCTGCTTCAGTCAGGTGTGAATGTTGTAATTGATCACCTCGATTAGCACTGAATGGTCTTGCAGCTTCGAAACCTAGCTGCTTCCTGCCTGGAGGAATCCTTTGTTGGGAGGTGTGGAATAATGTCCAGGGTGGGAGAAAGAACTCTTGTTTGCTTCAGGCAGGTGTGAATGCTGCAATTGATCACCTTGATTAGCATTGAAAAGCCTTGCAACTTCAAAGCCTGCCTGCTTCCTGCCTGGAGGAATCCTTTGCTTGGAGGTGTGGAATAATGTCCAGGGTGGGAGAAAGAACTCTTGCCTGCTTCAGGCAGGTGTGAATGTTGTAAATGGTCACCTTGATTAGCACTGAATAGCCTTGCAGCTTCAAAGCCTGCCTGTTGCTGCCTGGGGGGAGTCCTTTGTTGGGAAGTGTTAGCAAGGGAGGTTTACATATCTGTGGCATTATGTCCAGGGTGGGAGAAAGAACTCTTGTCTGCCTGAGACAAGTGTGAATGTTGCTGTTGGCTGCCTTGATTAGCACTTAATACCCTTGCAACTTCAAAGCCTGGCTGCTTCCTGCCTGGAAAATCCTTTGTTGGGAGGTGTAGAATAATGTCCAAGTTGGGAGAAAAAAACTCTTGTCTGTTGGAGCCAAGTGTGAATGTTACTGTCGGCCACCTTGATTAGCACTGAATGGCCAGCCCGGGGGAATCCTTTGTTGGGAGGTGTTAGCTGATCCTGATTGTTTCTTGTCTTTTGTTTCTTGTCCTGATTTTAGAGGGTTTGTAAATAAAAACATTGGTAGCCAGATTTTGTTCATTTTCATAGTTGCAAAATTCACGCTTGCCTCAAGCAGACCAGAGTTTTTTTCTCCCACCTTGGACATTATTCCACACCTCCCAACAAAGGATTGCCCCAAGCAGGAAGCCGTCAGGCTTTGAAGCTGCAAGGCCATTCAATGGTAATCAAGGTGGCCAATGGCAACATTCACACTTGCTTCCAATAGACAAGAGTTCTTTCTCCCACCCTGGACATTATTCCACGCTTTCCAACAAAGGATTCTTCCAGGCAGGAAGCAGCCAGGCTTTGAAGCTGCAAGGCTTTTCAATGCTAATCAAGGTGATCAGTTGCAGTATTCACACTTGCCTGAAGCAGACAAGAGTTCTTTCTCCCACCTTGAACATTATTCCACACCTCCCAACAAAGGATTTCTCCAGACAGGATGTAGCCAGGCTTTGAAGCTGCAAGCCCATTCAATGCAAATCAAGGTGGCCAACGGCAACATTCGCACTTGCTTCCAACAGACAAGAGTTCTTTCTCCCACTCCCAACAAAGGATTCCCCCTCAGGCAGGAAGCAGCCAGGCTTTGAAGCTGCAAGGCCACTCAACACTAATCAAGGTGATAAATTGCAGCCTTCACGCTTGCCTCCAACAGACAAGAGGTTCTTTCTCCCCTTCTGGACATTATTCCACACCTTCCAACAAAGGATTCCTCCAGGCAGGAAGCAGCCAGTCTTTGAAGCTGCAAGGCCATTCAATGGTAATCAAGGTGGCCGGCAGCAACATTCACACTTGCTTCCAACTGACAAGAGTTCTTTCTTCTACCCTGGGTAACATTCTACACCTCCCAACAAAGGATTCCTCCAGGCAGGAAGCAGCCAGTCTTTGAAGCTGCAAGGCCATTCAATGGTAATCAAGGTGGCCGGCAGCAACATTCACACTTGCTTCCAACTGACAAGAGTTCTTTCTTCTACCCTGGGTAACATTCTACACCTCCCAACAAAGGATTCCTCCAGGCAGGAAGCAGCCAGTCTTTGAAGCTGCAAGGCCATTCAATGGTAATCAAGGTGGCCAACATTCACCCTTGCCTGAAGCAGAAAAGAGTTCTTTCTCCCACCCTGGACATTATTCCACACCTCCCAACAAAGGATTCCCCCAAGCAGGAAGCAGCCAGGCTTTGAAGCTGCAAGGCTTTTCAATGCTAACCAAGGTAGCCAACGGCAACATTCACATTTTCCTCAAGCAGGCAAGAGTTATTTCTCCTACCCTGGACATCATTCCACCCCTTCCAACAAAGGATTCCTCCCACCCTGAACATTATTCCACACCTCCCAACAAAGGCTTGCTCCAGGCAGGAAGCAGCCAGGCTTTGAAGCTGCAAGGATTTTCAATGCTAATCAAGGTGATCAATTGCAGCATTCACACTTGCCTCAAGTAGACAAGAGTTCTTTCTTCCACTCTGGACATTATTCCACCCCTTCCAACAAAGACTTGCCCCAGGCAGGAAGCAGCCAGACTTTGAAGCTGCAAAGCCATTCAATGCTAATCAAGGTGGCCAACGGCAACATTCACACTTGCCTCAAGTAGACAAGAGTTATTTCCATAGATATATAAACCCAACTTGTTGATTCCAACAGACTTCACAACTTCTGAGGATGCCTGCCATAGATGTGGGTGAAATGTCAGGAGAGAATGCTTCTGGAACATAGACAGCCCAGATAACTCACAGTAAAAGCCTTCGACAATGCGTTGATACTAGGCATGGGCAATCCATGGTTCTAAAGTGCTTACAAAACTAGGGGTTGGTGGTGCTTTGCTTCTAACGTGTTGCTAAAGTTCTGGTGGTGAAAATTTCAGAACTCTAACCAAACTTTCAAAATTTTATTATTGGCAATTTTTACGATGGAACCCATTAGGAACTGCCTTTTATAATGAAATTTCGAAAGTTTTGTTAGAGTTCTGAAATTTTCACCACCATGCTGCTAAAGTGTTGCTAAAGTTCTGGTGGTGAAAATTTCAGAACTCTAACAAAACTTTCAAAATTCCATTATTATTTCATTATTGGTGATTTTTATGACAAAACAAATTAGGAACTGCCATTTATAAAGAAATTTTGAAAGTTTTGTTAAGAGTTCTGAAATTTTCACCACCAGAATTTTAGCAACACTTTAGAAGCAAAGCACCAGCGCCCTGTAGTTTTGTAAGTACTTTAGAACCATTGATTGCCCATGCCTAATTGATACATGTTTTGCAATGGTCAAAGGCCAGAAGGCTGAAGCAAAACCCACACAATACATACATTTTCTTTCTGGCTTGTCCAAATGTGATCACTTTCTGCTAAACGGAAATCAACGCGGTGCATTTTATGTATTGTCTGGGACATCTAATCACCTCTCAACAAAAGATTGTCCCAGGCACTGCCAGGCCTTTATATGCTAATCAAGGTGGTCAGTTGAAACATTCACACCTAGCTCCAGCAGACAAGAGTTCTTTGTCTCACCCTGATCATTCCATAGATATATAAACCCTTTTTCCTAGTTCCAACAGACCTCACAACCTCTGAAGATGCTTGCCATAGATGCAGGCGAAATGTCAGGAGAGAATGCCTCTAGAACATGACCATATAGCAGGAAACAATCAGGGACATCTAATCACCTCTCAACAAAAGATTGCCCTAGGCACTGCCAGGCCATCAAATGCTAATCAAGGTGGTCAGTTGAAACATTCACACCTAGCTCCAGCAGACAAGAGTTCTTTCTCCCAGATATATAAACCCTTTTTCCTAGTTCCAACAGACCTCACAACCTATGAGGATGCTTGCCATAGATGCAGGCGAAACGTCAGGAGAGAATGCCTCTAGAACATGGCAAATCAACGTGGTGCATTTTATGTATTGTCTGGGACATCCAATCACCTCTCCACAAAAGATTGCCCCAGGCACTGCCAGGCCATCAAATGCTAATCAAGGTGGTCAGTTGAAACATTCACACCTGGCTCCAGCAGACAAGAGTTCTTTGTCACCCTGGACAGATATATAAACCCTTTTTCCTACTTCCAACAGACCTCACTACCTCTGAGGATGCTTGCCATAGATGCAGGCGAAACATCAGGAGATAATGCCTCTAGAACAGTGGTTCTCAACCTGGGGTCCCCAGATGTTTTTGGCCTACAACTCCCAGAAATCCCAGCCAGTTTACCAGCTGTTAGGATTTCTGGGAGTTGTAGGCCAAAACACCTGGGGACCCACAGGTTGAGAACCACTGCTATAGAACATGGCAAATCAACGTGGTGCGTTTTATGTATTGTCTGGGACATCCAATCACCTCTCAACAAAAGATTGCCCCAGGCACTGCCAGGCCATCAAATGCTAATCAAGGTGGTCAGTTGAAACATTCACACCCAGCTCCAGCAGACAAGAGTTCTTTGTCTCACCCTGGACAGATATACAAACCCTTTTTCCTACTTCCAACAGACCTCACTACCTCTGAGGATGCTTGCCATAGATGCAGGCGAAACGTCAGGAGAGAATGCCTCTAGAACATGGCAAATCAACGTGGTGCGTTTTATGTATTGTCTGGGACATCCAATCACCTCTCAACAAAAGATTGCCCCAGGCACTGCCAGGCCATCAAATGCTAATCAAGGTGGTCAGTTGAAACATTCACACCTAGCTCCAGCAGACAAGAGTCCTTTGTCTCACCCTGGTCATTCCACAGATATATAAACCCTTTTCCTAGTTCCAACAGACCTCACTACCTCTGAGGATGCTTGCCATAGATGCAGGCGAAACGTCAGGAGAGAATGCCTCTAGAACATGGCCATATCGCCCGAAAAAAACTAGAACAACCCAGTGGCGCGTTTTGTAGGGTTTCCTCAATTTTGCATCGTATCCTCTTTGGCTCGTCTCGAAAAACGTTTCTAACCCATGACGCCCCCCGCCTCGCCCTTTCGAGGTAACCCTAAGTGACCCATAAGCGCTTACGTGTACGTATGAGCTTGCCGAAACAAAACTGTGGTTTAAAATAGGTAGCAAGAAATGCCTGCGCCGGCTTTATTGAGTGTGATTGTGAGAAGAGGGAATCGCAGAGAGAGAGAGAGAGAGAGAGGGTGCCACTGTCTCCTCCACCTCCACCTCCACCTTCTCCTCCTGGGTCCATCACCATCCAGCAGTGCCAGAGGTCCACCAATGCCCACACCCAGTCAGTTCTCGTGGCTCTCCTCCCCTTGCCTTTCGTATTTTTCTCTGTTTACATAAATAATAAGGACCAAAACATCATGAACATCATCATCATCACCACCGTCATCATCACCACCGTCATCATCTCAGCACCCTCTCCTTTCAAACTCAACAGAGGAGCCCTTGGACCTGTGGAGAAAGAATTGCAGGACTTGTTCTCAAAACCGTCTTTGTTTCGTTTGTTTGTTTGTTTCTTCGCTTGGGTGAGGGGTGGAGCACGTGGTCGGCGTTCCAAGGAGCCCCGGAAGAGGTCAATCCAGCTCGATGGGACTGCTGTCTTCTTGCCCGTCCTCCACGTCCTCTTCTTCTCCAGCCACCATCAAGCTGTTTAAAAGGTTGCCTAAGATGGAAGGAGAGGGGACAAAGCGGGGAGAGTCAGAGGGGCGGCTGCATATCTGTTGCAATAAGTCCTCGCAGGACCAAGTGTATGTATGTATGTATTTGTTTATTTACTTTGCTTGTATACCGCAGTTTCTCAGCCCGTAGGCGACTCAACGCGGTTCACAACAAGAGCAGAAAGTCAATCCGAACAACATACAATTTTAAAACCAGTTAACAGCGTAATATACAGAGTAATGACATATCAGTAAACAACACATTAACGTCTCGTAACTAGAATCGTGATCCAATTCGTCATCCATAATTCCGTTTTCCTATATTCATCATATTCATTGCACTGTTTATCCGAACGCCTGTTCAAATAGCCAGGTTTTTAGTTTCCTTCGAAACACCATTAACGAGGGAGCTGATCTGATGTCCACGGGAAGGGCGTTCTACAGCGAGGGGCCACCACTGAGAAGGCCCTGTCCCTCGTCCCCGCCAGCCGTGCCTGTGATGCAGGCGGGATCGAGAGCAGGGCCTCCCCAGAAGATCTTAGAGTCCTGGTGGGTTCAGGCAGAGATACGTTCGGATAGGTAGCTTGGGCCAGAACCGTTTAGGGCTTTATAGGCCAATGTAAAGAAAAACCTTACGGGTGGTAATCATCTAGTTCAGCTGGCTAAGGAGGTCAAGGAGCAATCTTGTACCACACCCAAGGGGCTAGAACTGTTTGAGTTTCTTTGAATACATTCTAGATCACCAGCGTGGAGTTCCAGCAGGAGAGATCCTGAGGGAGAGCTTCTTGCCACACTGTAGGATCTATATAGCAATATTAAATAACCACTCACAAGCCGGTTCTGCTTTGAAATGGATATATTGCTTGTATCTCTGCAGCAAAGAAAGACACTACTGACTTTTTCCCACCACCACTTCCTTTTATACACCTTTCCTGCCCATGTCCCCCCTCTTGTCCTTGCAGGACCAAATGTATGTGTGTAAAGAAAAACCTTATGAGTGGTAACTTGTTCAGCTGGCTAAGTAGGTCAACCAGCAATCTTGTACTAAACCCAAGGGGCTACAACTGTTTGAATTTCTTTGAATACATCTGGTTCACCAGGGTGGAGTTCCAGCAGGAGAGATCCTGAGGGAGAGCTTCTTGTCAGACTGTAGGATCTATATAACAATATTAAATAACCACTCACAAGCCGGTTCTGCTTTGAAATGGATATATTGCTTGTATCTCTGCAGCAAAGAAAGACACTACTGACTTTTCCTACTTCCAACAGACCTCACTACCTCTGAGGATGCTTGCCATAGATGCAGGCAAAACGTCAGGAGAAAAATTGCCTCCAGAACATGGCCATATAGCCCGGAAAAACCTACAACAACACACTACTGACTTGTTCCCACCACCACTTCCTTTTAGACATCTTTCCTGCCCATCTCCCCCTCTTCTCAGTTTCCTTATTAGAACTTGTTGCTTCACAAGTTCCAATACAAGGTTTCCAGCGCTCTCTGCTGGCTTCAAAATGTCACAGAGAGAGTGGGTTGTTGTAGGTTTCTTGGGCTATATGGCCATGTTCTAGAGGCATTCTCTCCTGACGTCTCGCCTGCATCTATGGCAAGCATCCTCAGAGGTAGTGAGGTACACCTCACTACCTCTGAGGATGCTTGCCATAGATGCAGGTGAAATGTCAGGAGAGAATGCCTCTAGAACATGGCCATATAACCCGAAAAAACCTACAACAACCCAGTGATTCCGGCCATGAAAGCCTTCGACAATACATTGTTTTGAGTTTCTTTGAATACATTCTGGTTCACCAGCGTGGAGTTCTAGCAGGAGATGCTGATCCTGAGGGAGAGCTTCTTGCCAGACTGTAGGATCTATATAGCAATATTAAATAACCACTCACAAGCCGGTTCTGCTTTGAAATGGATATATTGCTTGTATCTCTGCAGCAAAGAAAGACACTACTGACTTGTTCCCACCACCACTTCCTTTTAGACACCTTTCCTGCCCATCTCCCCCTCTTCTCAGTTTCCTTATTAGAACTTGTTGCTTCACAAGTTCCAATACAAGGTTTCCAGCGCTCTCTGCTGGCTTCAAAATGTCACAGAGAGAGAATTGATTCAGTCAGGATAACTCAGTCAGGATGTCATAGAGGGAATTTGTGATGTATTCATGCCATCAGAAATTGACTCCTGACACTTCCGGAGAGCCTTTTCTCGGAGGAGACCTATGGACAAAGGCTTGGCTCTGGGGAGCAGTTTGGAGAAGCTACTCTGAGGAGGCTATGGTGAAATAGCGATTTACTTCAGGTTTATTTTGATCTCTCATTTGCTGTAAACACGAAGATGCTTTATGTTTCTTACAAAGACTGTGTGAATATGTTGCATTGCTGATTTTTTTGTATGCAACATTGCCAGTTTTGTATCAACTCTGCAAAGTAAAGAGAGTATTGTTTTTCTGTTCACTTTTACTCCAGTCTGTGAGTCTTTTGCATTTGGACTTTGGGCGCTGGGAAAACTTTCAAAATTTCGTTAAAAATGGCAATTCCTAATTGGTTCTGTCATAAAATTCGCCGTTAACGAAATGATAATGAAATTTTGAACGTTTTGCTAGAGTTCTGAAATTTTCACCACCAGAACTTTAGAAATACTTTAGAAGCAAAGCACGAGCTTTTGTAACGCTTTGGAAGCAAAACACCAGTTTTGTAAGTACTTTAGAACCATGGGTCGCACATGCCTACAAACTACTATGGATATGGACCAAACTTGGCAGAAACACTCAATATGTATTGTCGAAGGCTTTCATGGCCGGAATCACTGGGTTGTTGTAGGTTTTTCCGGGCTATATGGCCATGATCTGGAGGCAATTTTTCTCCTGACGTTTTGCCTGCATCTATGGCAAGCATCCTCAGAGGTAGTGAGGTCTGTTGGAGTAGGAAAAATGGGTTTATATATCTGTGGAATGACCAGAGTGGGACAAAGGACTCTTCTCTGTTGGAGCTAGCTGTGAATGTTTACTTATTATTTATTACTGTGCTTATATACCGCCGTTTCTCAGCCTAAATCGGCGACTCAACGCGGTTTTGCTGTTGTAATTTTTGAGTTTTTTAAGTACTGGTAGCCAAATTTTGTTCATTTTCATGGTTTCATGGTTTCTTCCTTTCTGTTGAAATTGTCCACATGCTTGTGGATTTCAATGGCTTCTCTGTGTAGTATTCAGCTGATCACCTTGATTTCCATTCAATGGCTTGGAAGTGCCTGGGGGGAACCTTTTGTTTTGAGTGATTTTATGTGCCTGTTTGTTTCCCCTCTGTTGTTTTGCTGTTGTAATTTTTGAGTTTTTTAATACTGGTAGCCATAACTACACAGAGAAGCCATTGAAATCCACAAGCATGTGGACAATTTAAACAGAAAGGAAGAAACCATGAAAATGAACAAAATCTGGCTACCAGTATTAAAAAAACTCAAAAATTACAACAGCAAAACAACAGAGGGAAACAAACAGGCACATAAAATCACTCTCAACAAAAGATTCCCCCCAGGCACTTCCAAGCCATTGAAATGCTAATCAAGGTGGTCAGTTGAAACATTCACACCTAGCTCCAGCAGACAAGAGTCCTTTGTCCCACCCTGGTCATTCCACAGATATATAAACCCATTTTTCCTAGTTCCAACAGACCTCACTACCTCTGAGGATGCTTGCCATAGATGCAGGCAAAACGTCAGGAGAAAAATTGTCTCCAGAACATAGCCATATAGCCCGGAAAAACCTACAACAACCCAATACTCAATATGCCCAAATTGGTGGAGTTTGGGGAAAATAGACCCTGACACTTGGGAATTGCAGTTGTGTGGATTTATAGTTCACCGGGCATCAAAGAGCAGTCTCAGCTCCACCAACAATTGAATTGAACCAAACTTGGCATAGAGGACTCCTATGACCAACAGAAAATACTGGAGGGGTTTGGGGAAAATAGACCCTGACATTTGGGAATTGCAGTTGTGTGGATTTATAGTTCACCAAGCATCAAAGAGCATTCTGAGCTCCACCAATAATAGAATTGAACCAAACCTGGCATAGAGGACTCCCATGACCAATAGAATATACTGGAGGAGTTTGGAGGAGGCACGTACAATAGATTAGATTTGCAGTACCTTCGATCTGGATCGCCCGGGCAGTGGGGATCTCCAGCTGCCTACACTGGATGGCGAGGCGCTACGCCCGTCATCGTTGGTCAAGAGCCTGGGAGTCCTTTTGGACCCTCTGCAGACGATGGAGGCCCAGGTCTCCGCCGTGAGCAGAACCGCCTTCTTTCACCTGCGGCAGGCTAGACGGCTGGCCCCCTCCCTGTCCAGGGACGACCTGGCTATGGTGATCCAGGCCACGGTCATCTCAAGGCTGGACTACTGTAACGCCCTCAACATTGGCCTTCCTCTGTCGGTGATCCGGAAGCTCAAGTTGGTACAAAATGCAGCTGCCGGGCTTCTTGCGGGAATTCCGATGAGATGCCACATTACACCAATCCTACGCCAGCTGCATTGGTTACCAATTGAGCACCGGATCACTTTCAAAGGGATGGGACTCACCTTGAAGGCCTTGCATGGTCTGGGGCTGATGTACCCGAGGGAACGCCTCACCCCCTCCCAACCCCAGAGATCCCTCCGTTCTGAGGACCAGGATCTATTGGAAATCCCCACTGTCAAGACCTTGCGCCTAACAGCAACCAGACGCAGAGCCTTCACAGCAGTGGCGCCATCGCTCTGGAATACTCTGCCACCTGAAGTCTGTGCCTTGCGGGTCTTACCAGCTTTCCGCAGGGCATGGAAGACATACCTGTTTCGACAGGCCTTTGATTTTTAATATTGCTGTTTTTAAATTGTTAGATTTTAGCCATTCTTGTAAGCCGCTCCGAGCCCCAGGGGAGTGGCCGCATAGAAGTTTGAATTTATTTATTTACTTTATTTGTATACCGCTGTTCTCAGCCCTTAGGCGACTCACAGCAGTTAACAACAGGAACAGCAAAAATTCAATGCTACAAGAACACAATATTTTTTAAAAAAAACACACAATTGACATCATAAACACATTAAACAGTATGAATAATAAATAAATAAATAAATAAATCGCTTCAGTTCCTGAAGAGGCTTCCTTGTCGCCCTGAGAGGGGTGCACGCACCCAGGGACTGCACTCCATGCACCAGCTATGGGCATGCGCTCCCTACATGAGGCCTCTTCCCCTGTGCGCTTGGCAATGCCAGAGCCCGTCTACTTCCCGGCGTTGGCAAGTGTGCGGGGAAAGAGGGGCGATGCAGGGATCGCGCTCCCTGCACCAGCCCTCTTCCCCCACGCTCTTGCCCATGCCGAGAGAAGGACGTGCTCCGGCATGTGCTCCGGCTAAGCGCATGGGGGAAGAGGCCTCATGCAGGGAGCATGCACCCAGGAGCTGGTGGAAGGAGCACACCCCTTCGGTCTCAGCGGTGGTCAGGGGAGCTTTTGCACAATTAAAACTTGTGTGCCAGCTTTTTGAGCTGCGCCCGTACCTTGGGAAGTCTGACTTGGCCACGGTGGTCCATCCTCTGGTTACATCCTGTTTAGACTACTGCAACGCTCTCTATGTGGGGTTGCCTCTGATGACTGCCCGGAAACTTCAATTAGTCCAACGTGTGGCAGCCAGATTGCTAACAGGAGCGGGGTACAGAGACCATACAACCCCTCTGTTACGCCAGCTCCACTGGCTGCCGATTAGCTTCCGAGCACAATTCAAAGTGCTGGTTTTGACCTATAAAGCCCTAAACGACTCCGGCCCAGTTTACCTGTCCAAACGGATTCTCCCCTATGAACCATCAAGGTTACTAAGATCTTCCAGAGGGGCCCTGCTCTTGGTCCCACCACCTTCGCAATCGCGTTTGGTGGGAACGAGGGACAGGGCCTTCTCAGTGGTGGCCCCTCGGCTTTGGAATTCCCTCCCACCAGAGATTAGATCTGCTCCTTCCCTCCTGACCTTTAGGAAACCAATAAAAACATGGCTTTGGCATTTGAGGATTGAGTCAATAACCCTTGTCCACATGGAAGGATGGCAACGAATTGTGACTGTACTGACGACTTGGCTTGTGAAATGTGATGATGATGTTTTTATTGTACTTATATTTTAATGGATAATGATGATGAGGTGCATGGGGCCTGCAGGGCCTAACGAAACCATGCTGCAACCCCTCCAGAATTGCCAAACGACCCCTCCGGGGGCCGTGACCCCCAAGTTGAGAACCGCTACTTTAGAGCCTTAACTTACCTAGTAGTCCTCCATAGGATGAGGTTTGTTTGGGTGGAACACCAAAGAAGAGCTGTCCTATTCTGTCTAGATACTAAAAGGAGAGAAAAGGTATCAGTTTTGGCATCACAATAAAGCACAGACACATATCCAAATCCTCATCTTCCTCATGAAAAATGCAGCCATCACTCCAGTCTTGTGGGTTTGATTATATGTGCAGGCTTGCACAACAGCACCCAAAGCTGACATATAAAGGACAGGGCTGTGCAAAGCTTCAGGGGTCCACTGCGTAATTCAGAGGTTTGTATGATTTGACAACACAAATCTCTGGATTACTAATCGGAATGGAACCACTCCATAGCATTATGAAATGAAACGGAAGCCTCCAAAACGTTTTGGAGATATTAGTAAAGATTTGTTGTTTTGGAGCATTTCAAGTTGTGACCCTTACAGATATGTTTTGGACTACAACTTCCACCATTCCTAACAGCCTCAGGTCCTTTCCTTTTCCCCCTTAGCCACTCAAGAATGAATACAAGACTTTCCCAAAGATCTTAGACGTGAACACAGAACAAGACCCAAGATCCACATGTTAATGCAGTGTTGCCTGATCTGTCTCTTAAGGACACAATCCTTTAATTCTCAAGATGGACCCTTTACAGATATGTTTTGGACTACAACTCTCACCATTCCTAACAGGCCCTTTCCTTTAACCCCTCACCTTCTCAAGCAAGACTACAAGACCTTCCCAAAGATCTTAGACATAGATGTGAACACAGAACAAGACCCAAGATCCACACAATGGCACAGTGTTGCCTGATCTGACTCTTAAGGAAACAATCCTTTAAGGACCATAAAGCCACAAAGTCCAAAACACCTGGAAGGCCGAAGTTTGCTCATGCCCACCCTACACTATCAAACTGTCGTCTCCTCTTGAATTTTGCTCAGGATACAACTATTTTGCAAAAAGTTTTAATATGTCTGCACAACTTTAAATTTTGCTGTTATTGCTTTACTATTTTGTGAGCTGCTCCGAGAGACACCCAGATAGGATATTGCATGCACAGCCTGAAACAAACAAAACAAAGGAGAGCATAGAGAAGTAAAATAATATTCCACATGTTTGAAAATAACTTACTTCATTATACATGGGGTCCCTCTTCAAGGACGGTTGGTATTGTTCACACAATACTGTAAATACTGTTAACTTTCCTCTAAAACAGAAGCGACACACAATGTAAAACCAGGCCGAAAGAGGGGTGGAGGGGGGGGGGGGGGGGGGGGGGAGAGCGGGGCTGTGCTTTGCAATGAAAAAGAAGCCATACCCATCAACCGCCAGCAGCAGGAACCAAATGAAGTTGAGCAAGGGCTGTACAAAGGGAGGGCCCCTCTCTATGGAAGGGTGCTTCTGCGTGTATGTTGTGAAAACCACTAACGCGCTGGTTTTGTTTTTCAAACAGAGGAATCTGCAAAGAAAGGGGGAAAAAAGAATTCTGAAAGATACACAGGCTGTTTTGGGAGCAGAATGTAAACACTATCACTTCTAGGATGGGCTGCTGTGAGTTTTCCAGGCTGTCTAGACATATTCCAGAAGCATTCTATCCTCTGAGGATGTTGGGCATCCTCAGAGGTTGTGAAGTCTGCTGGAAATTAGGCCAGTGGGATTTATTTATCTGTGGAATGACGTCCAGGGTGGAAGAAAGAACTCTTGAGAATGTTGCAATCGGCCACCTTGATTAGCATTGAATGGCCTTGTAGTTGACATGAAACAATCAGGACCAGCTAATACCTTCCAACAACAACAATAATAATAATACTGACACGAAACCACAGTATGTCACAGCAAACGGGATCTCGATGCTGGATTTCGCTATTATTATTATTATTATTATTATTATTATTATTATTATTATTAGATTATTTTACTGACACAAAACCATAGTATGTCACAGCAAACGAGATCTTGATGCTGGATTTTGTTATTATTGTTGTTGTAATTATTATTTTACTGACACGAAACCATAGTATGTCACAGCAAATGAGATCATGTTGCTGGATTTCATTATTATTATTATTATTATTCTGACGCAAAACCACAGTATGTCACAGCAAACGAGATTTCTATGCTGGATTTCGTTATTATAATTATAATTATTATTTTACTGACACAAAAACACAGCATGTCACAGCAAACGAGATCTCTATGTTGGATTTTGTTGTTGTTATTATTATTATTGTTGTTGTTATTCTTATTATTCTTATTCTTATTATTTTACTGACACAAAACCACAGCACGTCACAGCAAACGAGATCTCTATGCTGGATTTCATTATTATTATTATTATTATTGTTATTATTATTATTATTATTTTACTGACACAAAACCACAGTATGTCACAGCAAACGAGAACTCGATGCTGCATTTTGTTATTATTATTATTATTATTATTATTATTCAGACACAAAACCACAGTATGTCACAGCAAACGAGATCTCTATGCTGGATTTCGTTAATAATAATAATAATAATAATAATAACGAAATCCAGCATAGAAATCTCCTTTGCTGTGACATACTGTGGTTTTGTGTTAGTAAAATAATAATAATAATAATAATAATAATAATAATAATAATAATAACGAAATCCAGCATAGAGATCTCATTTGCTGTGACATGCTGTGGGTATGTGTTAGTAAAATAATAATAATAATAATAATAATAATAATAATAATAATAATGAAATCCAGCATAGAGATCTCGTTTGCTGCGACATACTGTGGTTTTGTGTCAGTAAAATATTATTATTATTATTATTATTATTATTATTATTATTATTTTACTGACACAAAACCACAGTATGTCTCTATGCTGGATTTTATTATTATTATTATTTTACTGACACAAAACCACAGTATGTCTCTATGCTGGATTTTGTTATTATAATTATTATAATTATTATTATTATTATTTTACTTACACAAGACCACAGTATGCCTCTATGCTGGATTTCATTATTATTATTATTATTATTATTATTATTATTATTATTATTATTTTACTGACACAAAACCACAGTATGCCTCTATGCTGGATTTCGTTATTATTACTATTATTATTATTATTATTATTATTATTATTATTATTATTATTATTTTACTGACACAAAACCACAGWATGRCTCTATGCTGGATTTCYTTATTATTATTATTATTATTATTATTATTATTATTATTATTATTATTATTTTACTGACACAAAACCACAGAATGTCTCTATGCTGGATTTCGTTATTATTATTATTATTATTATTATTATTATTATTATTATTTTACTGACACAAAACCACAATATGTCACAGCAAACAAGATCGCTATGCTGGATTTCGTTATTATTATTATTATTATTATTATTATTATTATTATTATTATTATTATTTTAAAAAGCCAATATATACCACTACTGATGTACAACTGTCTTTCTTGTAGGTGTAAAAACAGCATTGAATGTTTTCCGCATATGTATGTTCTGCGATCTGCCCCGTGTCCCCTTCGGGGTGGGAAGGGCGGAATATAAATATTGTCAATTAATAATTAAATCAATCAATCAATCAATGGTGGGCCCACTCCTGGATGAAGGCCCTGATATTGTTGTTTCTGTTTCTCTTTCTGATCAGAAGGCAGAGAGGAAGGAAGGGATCAAGAGCGGAAGACCTACTGTAACACGGCTTGAGCTACAAACATGTCCACCTCGCTGCGGTAGCCCCTGGACGAGGAATACTCCACCAGCATGTTTGCACAGCCCTCGCCATCTGTAGAGTGCAAGAAGTGATACCGAGATTCACAGTAGTTTTGCTCTAGAAAAGAAGTTTTAAGAAACCCAACAAATCAGTGATGCCTCTTGCTCAAAGTGCAAGTATGAGACACATTAGTCTTTGCATTCGTTAGCAATAGAGGTCATTTTGCAAAAATATTCCAAGTTTGCATAACAAGGTGAAGCACGAAGTCCACACCGCGGCCCTTTCTTATGAGCAAGAAACATGCAGTCAGCGGTTTAGGAATTAAATCCCACCCCAAAGGAGAAATATTAAGGAGGTATGTTAGACTGATTGCCTGAATACTGGTACAAGTATGAAATAATAGATGAATCAAGCTCTGGTGTTAATTAATAGAGCTTGATGTGTTGCTTTATTGTCACTTTTCCACTGGTTTGTAATTTTGGTGTTCCAACACTATCATATTTTTGGCATTTTAGGACAAAACATCTCATATTTTACAAAAACTTGTTGACTAAAAGGTTGTCAGTTCAAATCCGGGGAGCAAGGTGAGCTCCCGCTGTTAGCCCCAGCTTCTGCAGTTCAAAAGCATGCAAATGTGAGTAGATCGATAGGTGTTGCTTCTGCAGGAAGGTAACGGCGCTTCCGGTGGCTGGAATCGAGCATAACCTCCAAGATAGAAAATGTCGAAATACCTCTATCCGTTTGTCTTGTATTTCTAAAATATTTATTTATTTATTTATTTATTTCGGGTACTTTTACCCCGCCCTTCTCAACCCCCGAGGGGGGACTCAGGGCGGCTTACAAAAAGGCACAATTCGATGCCTATACAAATTACACATAATGTACAAAACCATAGTTAAAACAATTATCACAGTTAAAACAATCAAAACAATCAGTATATAACACATCAATAAAACTATTCTCATGCTCAGCGTTTTGTCTTTCAGAGTTCCATAGTTCCATTCCATTAGTCAATTCCTGGCCATTGTCAAAGTCCTTTCTTTATCTGCCCGATTGTCCGAATGCCTGGTCCCAAATCCATGCTTTCAGTTTTTTTCTAAAGGAAAGGAGGGATGTCGCTGATCTAATTTCCCCGGGGAGTGAATTTCACAGGTGGGGGGCCACCACCGAGAAGGCCCTGCTCCTCGTCCCCGCCAACCTCACTTGTGATAAGAGACGGGGTCGAGAGCAGGGCCTCCCCAGAAGATCTTAGACTCCGCGGTGGGACGTAGATGGAGATCCGTTCAGACAGATACACTGGGCCGGAACTGTATAGGGTTTTGTAGGTCAGAACCAGCATTTTGAATTGTGCTCGGAACTGGATCAACAGCCAGTGGAGCTGACACAACAGGGGGTGGTATGCTCCCTGTATGACGCTCCGGTGAGCAGTCTGGCTGCCTCCGGTTGGACTAGTTGAAGTTTCTGAACAGTCTTCAAAGGCAGCCCCATGTAGAGTGTGTTGCAGTAGTCTATCCTAGATGTAGCCAGAACGTGTACCACTGTGGCCAAGTCAGACTTCCCAAGGTACGGGTGCAGCTGGCGCACAAGTTTTAATTGTGCAAAAGTTCTCCCGGCCACCACCGAGACCTGGGCTTCCAGGCTCAGCGATGATTCCAGGGTCACTCCCAAGCTGCGAACCTGCGTCTTCAGAGGGAGTGTCACCCCGTCTAACACAGGCTGTAACCCTATGCCCTGTTCGGCCTTACGACTGACCATTGAATGTTTGCTGTATATGTGTGCAGTGAGAAGGGTGGAATGTAAACACTGTAAATAAATAAATACATAAATAAATAAATATCTGAGACTGATACACCGAAATAAGTCCCTGGGACGGGGTTCACGGCAAGGGCAAAATGGCTCAGACACCCAAAAGGAAATCCCTTGCGGAGAGATGCGTCTGCCGCCGCTGCGTCTGCCAAATTTCTAATTTATCTCTCTGGTGTGTTCCATCCTGGATTTAAAAATAAAAGGCAGGCCCCGAACCCATGCTAATCCAAGTGTCATAATCCCTTGCAATTGGGGGGGGGGGGGGGGGGGGGGGGTTAAGTGGCGCCGTTTCTGCACCTTTCGTTCCGGCCTTTCCAAGAACGAAGAGAGTCAAGTAAGACATTCAGACGATGCTCCAAAGGGATATTTTAGGCACACCTAGACACACCTTTGGGATTTTTCACTCGTGATCTAATAAACTATTCAAGGCCAAAGTTCTCCTACCTTTCCACAACGTGATGGCTAGCAACTGGTGCAATTTCGGATGCCCGAGTTTTCCCGACCCTCCGCTGGACCACTTCAGTGCCCTGGACACAAAGGCCACTCTTTCCGGTGAATTCGGGTCCATCAGGCTGAACACTTTCGCCAGGTTCTCTAGAAGCAACCACAAAAGGTCGGCACTTAACGGCAACGTTGACGTTCACAGCAACAGCAGCCTTCTCATTCCCAAAATAGCAGCACTGTCAAGGTTACCAAAACACGTTACACAAGGCCTGGGAAAACGTGGGCCCTCCCTCCAGGTGTTTTGTGTTGGAGTTCAATCCCACACTGGCCAAGTCTCAAGTCCTCAATGAGGAGAAGGGACACAGAGTTTCATCTATGCTGATGATTGTGCCATTACTGCTCAAGCAGGGAGCTTTGAGATGGTAGAACAGAAGCTCTCCGAAGCTCTAGGTGCCCTTACTTCCTACTACAGGGAAAACCAGCTGATCCCCAACCCATCTAAAACACAGACATGTGCCTTTCATCTCAAGAACAGAGAAGCATCCCGAGCGCTGAGGATCACCTGGGAAGGAATCCCACTGGAGCATTGCAGTGCACCCAAGTACCTGGGAGGAGTCACTCTGGACCGTGCTCTGACCTACAAGAAGCACTGCCTGAACATCAAGCAAAAAGTGGGTGCTAGAAACAATATCATACGAAAGCTGACTGGCACAACCTGGGGATCACAACCAGATACAGTGAAGACATCTGTCCTTGCGCTGTGTTACTCTGCTGCTGAGTACGCATGCCCAGTGTGGAACACATCTCACCACGCTCAAACAGTGGATGTGGCTCTTAATGAGACATGCCGCATTATCACAGCGTGCCTGCGCCCTACACCACTGGAGAAATTACACTGCTTAGCCGGCATTGCACCACCTGACATCCGCCGGGAAGTGGCAGCCAATAGTGAAAGGACCAAGGCAGAGACATCTCCAGCCCATCCCCTGTTTGGGTATCAGCCAGCATGCCAAGGACTTAAATCTAGAAATAGTTTTCTAAGATCTACAGAGACACTCGCTGAAACACCTCAGTAAGCGAGAGTCCAAAAGTGGCAGGCTCACCCCCAGGCCCTTCCCCCTCGGCCGCTTGAGCAGGAAAGGGACAAGGAAGGGCCCCGACATGTTGACTCTAAGCTGCAATACTGTGTCCAGAGGAAGAGGGTGACTCAAAGGGTCAAGGGCCTGGAGAACAAGCCCTATGAGGAGTGGCTGAAGGAGCTCAGCGTGTTTGGCCTGAAGAAGAGAAGGCTGAGAGGAGACAGGATAAGGGCCATGTATAGCCCTTCAGCAGTGGAACCCTCTGCCCCGGAAGGAGTGTGGTGGAGGCCCCTTCTTTGGAAGCTTTTAAATAACAGAGGCTGGGTGGTCATCTGTCAGGGGTGCTTTGAATGCAATTTTCCTGCTTCTTGGCAAATTGGGGTTGGACTTGATGGCCCATGAGGTCCCTTCCAACTCTTTGATTCTATGATTCTATGACTAGGAACAGTTGGGATACAAGTGGAAGGTGGTCACAGTCAGGGTTACCCCTCTATTCCACTTTGGTTAGACCACACCTGGAATATTGTGTCCAATTCTGAGCACCACAATTGACAAGTTGGAATGTGTCCAGAGGAGGGCGACTAAAATGATCAAGGGTCTGGATAACAAGCCCTATGAGGAGCGGCTGAAAGACCTCAGGAGACATGATCACCATGTATCAATATGGGAGGGGAAGTCCTAGGGAGGAGGGAGCCAGCTTCCTTTCTGCTTCCTTGGAGACTAGGACACAATGGAGCAATGGCTTCAAACTACAAGAGAGGAGATTCCACCTGAGCATAAGGAAGAACTTCCTGACGGTGAGAGCCGTTCAGCAGTGGAACTCTCTGCCCCGGAGGGAGTGTGGTGGAGGCTCCTTCTGTGGAAGCTTTTAAACAAAGGCTGGATAGCCATCTGTCAGGGGTGCTTTGAATGCAATTTTCCTGCTTCTTGGCAAATTGGGGTTGGACTGGATGGCCCATGAGGTCTCTTCCAACTCTTTGATTCTATGATTCTATACCCACGTCTGCTACAAATCCACAACAGATCTCAGATTCCTAGGAGGCAGAAAGCGGAACGAAAAGGACAGCCATTGCTTTCACGGGCTCTTTGTGAGATTCCAAAAGCAATTGCCCAGCTGCTCTTGAAAGCAGAATCATGAGCCAAATAAAGACTTTCTGTATATATTTCAGATTTCAATATTAATGTCAAAAATACGTAGTATGATTTTACATAGGATTTGTGTTGATCAAAACTGACCTAACCCACAAAAGAAGGGATACAGCAAGGAAAAAGAATCCAAGTACACGATACTGTGGTCGACACATGAGGACGCTAGGCAAAGAACGACAGAAGACATAGGGTGGGATCTCTCACCTAGCAGCTCATCTGTAACTTTTGCATCTGACTTCTCCAGGGACTCTAGAACTAGCATGGACAGGTCAGCAGCGCTGTTTTGCTAGAAAACACAGAAAAGACCGTGAGTACATACAACTAAGCAACAGAACTACAAATACGGGAAACGGAATGAGGATGCGCATCTCTGACCTTTACCACAATGCCAGTCATTGAGCTACTGACGACTGGCACTGCTCGTTCACTTCTGTTGTCTTCCCGCTACATGGCAGTGATACCAACTTCCCCCATGAAATTTTCCCGCATGAGCTACGTGCCTTGTAACCTCGCTTTCCGGATATCCCTTGTACAGCGCGAACTTTGCACTTAGAGGGAAATGGAATGAGGATGCTCAACTCTAACCTGCACCACAATGCCAGTCAATGAGCTACTGACGACTGGTACTGCTCGTTCGCTTCCACTGGATTCCCGCTATACAGCAGTGATACCAAATTTCCCCGTGAAAATTTCCGGTGAGAAATACGTGCATTGTAACCTTACTTTCCGGATAACCCTTCTATTATACTGTGTTTTTATTTGCATTTAATAAGATTTATTTTGCAATTGTACTGTATGGTTCTGTGGTTTGTTATTCCACCTTCTCTCTCTGTGTGTACATATGCCAAGACATATTTCAGTCTGGCAAACCCATGTTTGATTGTTTTATTGTAAAGCACCATATACACTTGATGATACCAAATAATACATAAATAGGGTTGTTGTAGTTTTTTCGGGCTATATGGTCATGGTCTAGAGGCATTCTCTCCTGACGTTTCGCCTGCATCTATGGCAAGCATCCTTCAACAACCCACTCTCTCTGTGACATTTTGAAGCCAGCAGAGAGCGTCGGAAACCTTGTATTGGAACTTGTTGCCCCTGGGCAACATCCTTGCAGACGGTCAATTCTCTCACACCAGAAGCGACTTGCAGTTTCTCAAGTCACTCCTGACACTACAAAAGAACAAAGAAAAAATAAAAAACAGAAAACCTCACTACCTCTGAAGATGCTTGCCATAGATGCAGGCGAAATATCAGGAGAGAATGCCTTTAGAACATGGCAATATAGCCCTAAAAAACCTACAACAACCCAGTGATTCCAGCCATGAAAGCCTTCGACAATACAATAAATAAATAATAATAATAAACAATAATAATTACACGCTTGGGAAATGTTCGGCTTGTGATTTTGTGATACGAAATCCAGCATATATATTTCATTTGCTGTGACATACTGTGGTATTGTGTCAGTAAAATAAATAAATAAATAAATAAATAGACGCTTGGGAAGTGTTCGACGTGGTTTTGTGTCAGTAAAATAAATAAATTAATTAATTAATAATAATAATAATTAGATGCTTGGGAAATGTTTGACTTGTAATTTTGTGATACGTAATTCAGCATATATATTTCATTTGCTGTGACATACAGTGGTTTTATGTCAGTAAAATAAATAAATAATAATAATAATAATAATAATAATATAATAATAATTAGACGTTTGGGAAGTGTTCGACTTGTGATTTTGTGATACGAAATCCAGCATATATATTTCATTTGCTATGACATACTATGGATTTGTGTCAGTAAATAATAATAATAATAATAATAATAATAATAATAATAATAAGACGCTTGGGAAATGTTCGACTTGTGATTTTGTGATACGTAATCCAGCATAGAGATCTCGTTTGCTGTGACATACTGTGGTTATTGTCAGTAAAATAAATAAATAAATAAATAAATAAATAATAATAATTAGACGCTTGGGAAATGTTCGGCTTGTGATTTTGTGATGCGAAATCCAGCATGTAGATCTTGTTTGCAGTAACATACTATGGTTTTGTGTCAGTAAAATAAATAATAATAATAATAATAATAATAATAATATAATTAGACGTTTGGGAAGTGTTCGACTTGTGATTTTGTGATGCGAAATCCAGCATATACATTTCGTTTGCTGTGACATACTGTGGTTTTGTGTCAGTAAAATAAATAATAATAATAATTAGACGCTTGGGAAGTGTTCGACTTGTGATTTTGTGATACGAAATCCAGCATATATATTTCATTTGCTATGACATACTGTGGCTTTGTGTCAGTAAAACAAATAATAATAATAAACAATAATAATTAGATGCTTGGGAAGTGTTCGACTTGTGATTTTGTAATACGAAATCCAGCATATAGATCTCGTTTGTTGTGACATACTGTAGTTTCGTGTCAGTAAAATAATTAATTAATTAATTAATTAATAATTAGACGCTTGGGAAGTGTTCGACTTGTGATTTTGTGATACGAAATCCAGCATATATATTTCATTTGCTGTGACATAGTGTGGTTTTGTGACAGTAAAATAAATAATGATAATAATAATAATAATAATAATAATAATAATACGCTTGGGAAGAGTTCGACTTGTGATTTTGATACAAAATCCAGCATATATATTTCATTTGCTGTGACATACAGTGGTTTTGTGACAGTAAAATAAATAATAATAATAATAATAAGAAGAAGACGACGCTTGGGAAGTGTTCGACTTGTGATTTTGTGATACGAAATCCAGCATATATATTTCATTTGCTATGACATACTGTGGTTTTGTGTCAGTAAAATAAATTAATAATAATAATAATAATAATATAATAATAATTAGACGTTTGGGAATTGTTCGACTTGTGATTTTGTGATACGAAATCCAGCATATAGATCTCATTTGCAGTGACATACTATGGTTTTGTGTCAGTAAAATAAATAATAATAATAATAATAATAATAAAATAATAATAATTAGACATTTGGGAATTGTTCGACTTGTGATTTTGTGATACGAAATCCAGCATATAGATCTCGTTTCCTGTGACATACTATCGTTTTGTGTCAGTAAAATTAATAATAATAATAATAATAATAATAATAATAATAATAATAATAATTAGACGTTTGGGAAGTGTTCGACTTGTGATTTTGTGATATCACAATGAAATATATATGAAATCCAGCATATATATTTCATTTGCTGTGACATACTGTGGTTTTGTGTCAGTAAAATAAATAAATAAATAATAATAATAATAATATAATTAGACGTTTGGGAAGTGTTCGACTTGTGATTTTGTGATACAAAATCCAGCATATAGATCTCGTTTGCTGTGACATACTGTGGTTTTGTGTCAGTAAAATAAATAATAGTAATAATAATAATAATAATAATAATAATAATAATTAGATGCTTGGGAAGTGTTTGACTTGTGATTTTGTGATACGAAATCCAGCATTTGCTGTGACATACTGTAGTTTCGTGTCAGTAAAATAACAAATAAATTAAATAATAATAATAATAATAATAATAATAATAATAATAATAATAATTAGATGCGGTTTTGTGTCAGCAAATACATAATAACAATAACAATAATAATAATACGTTTGGGAAGTCTTCGACGTGATTTTGTGATATGAAATCCAGCATATAGATCTCGTTTGCTGTGACATACTGTGTTTTGAGTCAGTACAATACTAATAATAACAATAATAATAATAATAATAATAATAATAATAATAATAACCTTTGCATAGTTTTTAAACAGATCTTACTTGATTGTGACTGAAGAACAACAGGGCCCCCGAATACATGAGTTCTCTCGCTTCTGCATGTTTCCCTTGCGACATGTACCTGTGGATTTTAAAACAAAAACACAAAAGCAGAGTGAAAGATATCCAGAATGTGGACGCACGATGAGACAAGCTTTCAAGAGTGGTTTGTGGTGCAAAATAACGTGATCTTTGGAACTGAAAGAGTCATGGCGCAAAGGGATAGCTGAATAAACAAACAAAATCTATAGAAAGTACTCCTGCACAAAATCTGAAGAATCCCACCTATAGATCGTCCCTGACAGTTAGTAACCAATGTATATTGATCCATTTGACTGGGAAACAGCAACTATATTCAAACTGCAACCTGCTCCCTTCCTACGGAGGCCACTACAAGCATCCATCCCTCATCTGGACCTAATCCCATTTCCCTACATTGAGTTGCATTTGCTCAACTCACCCAACCTGTTGTTTCTGCACGTACCCGGAGGTTAAGGAGGCCCTGATCTCGATTTTGCAAGCGTGACTCATGGGGACGAGAGACAGGACCTTCTCAGTGCTGGCCCCTCAGCTGTAGTGGGATTAGATTGGCCTCTTCCCTCCTGTCATTTTGTAAACAAGTGAAAACTTGGCTTTGGGAGCAAGCATTTGGCCCAGAATAATTATCAGTGCAATACAGTTGGATTTGACCCTGGATTGATTAATATGGTTATTTGATTATCTGGCTTTGGATCTATGCACAATAATTGCCTAATGTTTACATATGTTTTTTCGAAGGCTTTCATGGCCGGAATCACTGGGTTGTTGTAGGTTTTCCGGGCTATATGGCCATGTTCTAGAGGCATTTTCTCCTGACGTTTCGCCTGCATCTATGGCAAGCATCCTCAGAGGTAGTGAGGTCTGTTGGAAGTAGGAAAATGGGTTTATATATCTGTGGAATGACCATAGAGTCATAGAATCCTAGAGTTGGAAGAGACCTCATGGGCCATCCAGTCCAACCCCATTCTGCCAAGAAGCAGGAATATTGCATTCAAATCACCCCTGACAGATGGCCATCCAGCCTCTGCTTAAAAGCTTCCAAAGAAGGAGCCTCCACCACACTCCCTCCGGGGCAGAGAGTTCCACTGCTGAACGGCTCTCACAGTCAGGAAGTTCTTCCTAATGTTCAGATGGAATCAGGATGGACCAGGGTGGGACGTTTAAATATGTTGTTTTAATGTTGTTAAATCAGTGTCCCTCCACCTTCCTAATGCCGCGACCCCTTAATACAGTTCCTCATGTGGTGGTGACCCCCAACCATAACATCATGAGTGGATGCTATCCTTGAAGTGACTGGCTTGACCTTGAAGGAGCTGGGGGTGGCCACGGCCCACAGGGAGCTCTGGCTTGAGCTGGGCCAGGTGGGCACCAAGAGGTGGAAGCAACTAAACAAATCAACAACAACAACATACAATGTGAATGTCTGTTATACAGGACGTATTTTCAACACTGGACCAAATTTTGCACAAATATCCAATACGCTCAAATCTGAATACTGGTGGGGTTGTGGGGGGATGGATCTTGTCATTTGGAGGTTGTAGTTGATGGGATTTATAGTTCACTTACAATCAAAGAGCATTCTGAACCCCACCATGATGGAATTAAACCAAATGTGGCACACAGGGCTCCCATGACCAACAAAAAACACTACAAGGGTTTGGTGGGCATTGACCTTGAGTTTGGGAGTTGTAGTTCACCTACATCCAGAGAGCACGGTGGACTCAAACAATAACAATAATAATAATAATACGTTATTTATACCCCATCACCATCTCCCCAAGGGGACTCAGGGCGGCTTACATGAGGACATGCCCAACAATACAGCAGTGCAAATAAGCAACATACAACGGCAATAGCAACTAGCACTGGGGGGGCAACTAGCACTGGGGGGGCAACTAGAGCAACTAGCACTGGGGGGGGGGGGGGGGGGGGAGAGGCAATAAAATATAAAAATAAAATACAAGAAACAATATAAATAAGCAATGATGGATCTGGACCAAATTTGGCACATATCCTCAATATGCTCAAATGTGAACATTGGTGGAGTTTGGGGAAAATAGACCTTGACATTTGGGAGTTGTAGTTGCTGGGATTTATAGTTCACCTACAATCAAAGAGCATTCTGAACTGCACCAATGATGGAATTGAACCAATCTTGGCGCACAGAACTCCCATGACCAACAGAAAAAACTGTGATGTTGTAGGTTTTTTCGGGCTATATGGCCATGTTCTAGAGATATTCTCTCCTGACGTTTTCGGGCTATATGGCCATGTTCTAGAGGTATTCTCTCCTGACGTTTCACCTGCATCTGTGGCAAGCATCCTCAGAGGTTGTGAGGTCTGAGGATGCTTGCCATAGATGCAGGCGAAACGTCAGGAGAGAATGCCTCTAGAACATGGTAATATAGCCCGAAAAAACCTACAACAACCCAGTGATTCCAGCCATGAAAGCCTTCAACAATACAGAAAATACTGTTTTCTGATGGTCTTTGGCACCCTCCCCCCTAAGGGGTCCTGACCCCCAGGTTGAGAAACGCTGAACTAAGTCTACAAGAGCAAAACGGACAGCAATCTCCTAAAGCAGACAAGAGCACGAGGCCCGGAGGCTGCTCCCTTGAAGCCCTAAAGCTTCAAGGGAGCAGCCTCTGGGCCTTGTGCTCTTGCTTTCTTGCACTAGAGCTCCCTCTGGCACTCCCTCTTCACTCAAACCAACCCAGGCCAAGCAATGGTTTTTAACTCAATGCACTCTTAAGTTGGGGCGCTCGTAAGTCGAGGTTCCATTGAACAATTCCCGGTATGCTTCATAACTGATTTGACTAGATCAGGGTCCTGAAAGTTTCAACCTGGCAACATGAGTCCCCTTCGGGGTGAGAAGGGCGGCATATAAATGTCGCAAATAAATCTATGTATATAATAAAAGTCAGTGTTTGTATGCGGAGGACAGTGTATGTGGGAGCTTTCTGATTGGCTCCCAATTTCACAGGCCACGGTGACGGACCTAGACCAAACTTGGCACACATAACCCCCATGACCCCCTTTGGGTCCTGGGGAGGTTTGGGGGAGGACGGACGAAAGATGATGGGATTTGTAGCACTTTCAAACCCATCAGTTCCCACAGACCAATGTGGTCCCCAACGAAGACTGATGAAGACCAAACTAGGCACATAGAGCTCCCATGACCCACTCTACATCCTACAGCAGTTTGGAGGATGGTTGACCATGGATGATGGGACTTGAAGTACCTCCACTCACTTCCCCAGACTGCTTAGACCCTCAGCCAATGACAAATCAAGACCAAACTTGGCACAAATAACACTCATAACATCCTCTTCATCCTGGTGAGGGCTGGGGGAGGACGGACAATGGATGATGGGATTTGTAGTGCTTTCCCACCTCTTTTGTTCCCACAGACTACTGTGCCCCCCTACAAAGACAGATAAAGACCAAACTTGGCACACAGAGCCCCCATGACCCACTCTACATCCTGCTGCAGTTTGGAGGAGGGTGGACCATGGATGATGGCACTCGCGACCCTCATCCAATGACCAATAAAGTCCAAACTTGGCATACAGAACCCCCATTACCCACTTTCTCTAATAACCCGGGCACCACCGGATCCCCAAGCTAGTAATAAATAAAATAAACATCTGGACAGCTGGATGGTTTCCATACCATCCTGGCTGCTAGGCGTAAGTGCTCCATGGATAGCAGAGAGGTCCTCCAGAGCCAGCTCCAGTCTCAAAGAAAGAGCGGCATATGGCAAAGCAGCAGTTAAACACCCGCCGAAAGCGACAGCCACAGTAAATCTGGATAGACATCAAAAGGAGGAGCAGATGGCAACACAGTTTGGTCGTTCTCTGTCAGGATGCCCGAAAAGCAAACGGCTGCAGTGCTGCCCTTGCCATACTGAGCCAACATCTCAATGGGTGCCATGTACAAACATCGCAAATGGGATGGAAATAGCACAAGATAAGGACAAAACCTCACAGACGAAGCATGCAGATGTCAGGTGCCCACAGAGTGCAAGGTATCTGTCTGCCTGTCTGTCAAAACGACTACCTGGACACACCCCAGGAGAGGCTCTGGAATGGATCTTGCCACATGCAAACAGCATACTCCTTGTGTTGCAAGCATACATATTTCAAGGTATTGCGTGTTTACGACAGAACACCTGACTTCAGAGCAGACCCGCAAAACCTGTAGCTCTCCAGGCATTTTGGACATCAACATAGCCACAAAATTAGCTTAAAATGTCTTTTTAGAGATCATCAAAATGTCATTTTTAATAACTGCATTTGTTTAGGAAATGCTAGCACAGTTCTCTTCATTGCTTCATCATAACTTGGATTGTTGTTATGAGTAAAGACAATGAATCACCCCTCAATGTTCTGACTTACTGGCAGAGTTGAGAACATCAAGCTCCTCTTTTTGCACCCATTCACAACTTGGAAGAGGTACCGTATATACTCGAGGATAAGCTAACCTGAATATAAGCCTACACACCTAATTTTGCCACAAAAAAACTGGGAAAACATATTGATTATTATCATTATTACCTCTATATATATTTGAATATAAGCTGACCCAAATATAAGCTGGAGCACCTAATTTTGCCACAAAAAACTGGGAAAACATATTGTTTATTATCATTATTACCTCTATAAAAATAATGTAAATGTTATAATAACAATAATAGAGTAAAATAATAAATGTAATAACAGAGTAAAATAATAAATGCAAAAAATAAAAATAGCGTAAAATAATGTAAATGTAATAATAATAATAATAATAATAGAGTAAAATAATGAATGGAATAACAATAATAAATAGAGTAAAATAATAAATGCAATGAAAATAAAAACAGAGTAAAATAATGTAAATGTAATAATAATAATAGAGTAAAATAATGAATAATAACAATAATAAATAGAGTAAAATAATAAATGCAATAAAAATAAAAATAATAGAGAAAAATAATGTAAATGTAATAATAATAAAAAATAATAGAGTAAAATAATAAATGTAATAATAGAGTAAAATAAT